CAGACTCCACCCAACTAACTCAGGCTAACTCAGACTCCACCCAACTAACTCAGGCTAACTCAGACTCCACCCAACTAACTCAGGCTAACTCAGACTCCACCCAACTAACTCAGGCTAACTCAGACTCCACCCAACTAACTCAGACTAACTCAGACTCCACCCAACTAACTCAGACTAACTCAGACTCCACCCAACTAACTCAGGCTAACTCAGGCTCCACCCAACTAACTCAGGCTAACTCAGGCTCCACCCAACTAACTCAGGCTAACTCAGACTCCACCCAACTAACTCAGGCTAACTCAGACTCCACCCAACTAACTCAGGCTAGACAGCATGAAAGGACACCTGCTGACAAGTAGCTAATAACTGGTCACCACAGAGGTGCTAGTTATGTCATATGGAGCAAATGCCTTTTCACTTTCAAGCCCAAACGCTGTGTTTCCGGTTTTCAAACATATAAGCAGAATACTGACAGAGTAAGATGTGCTGCTCTTGCAGAGGACACTTCTTGGCAGCCATTTCATAAAGCTCACAACTGCATATAATTCCAGTTCCAAGGCATGTTACCGTTGGCCTCCATAGGCATCTGGAGTACAGTAGTTATTAACTTGTAAAACATGACAGAAAGTTAAAGAAGTAGAAATTACAAGAGTAAAAAGAAAATAAATAACATGATGGTCAATATAAACACAAGTAGAACAATATGCATTATATAATTATATGTGATTATTCCAAAGGAACATTTAAGATTTTGAGGTTGGCAGTCGACTAGCATTGCTTTATACATCCAAGATGAAAAAAAATGTCATAAACCCAGAGACAGAAAAATTAGGTATAAAAATATGAGAAAACCTATACCATGGAAACACTAACCAATTGAAAGTCAGTGTTGCCATATTAATAATTGTCTGTGAACTTCAATGTTTCATCCTAGAGGGAGGCTTTAAGACTCAGGGAGTGAACAAAATGATAATCTCAGGAAAGTCAAAGTCTCAGGAAGTACTCAAAAGTAACAACATTCACAAGGTCCTTGCCAAGATCGTGTAAATGGTAACAACTACCAGGGAACAGAGATGTCACTTTGTCAAACTGCCTGCCAGTCAGGCAAGGAGCTCCAAGGATGTGGTTTTTGTGATTCATAGCCCGCACTGGGCTGGGGTTTGTGTCCTCCATGCTCCTTGTAGTGACCACATCCTACTCCTAACCTCATTAAACCTGTTTATGTCTTTGGCCTGTTGTCAGTGAGATATTTGTGGTGAGTAGATGTTTGTTCTCCTCTGTCCAGGAGAAGTCACAGAGCAACTTCAGAAGAAAGGACATGACTAGACTCATAATAATTATGGTCTGTATTCGCCAGAGAAACATCAGTACTTGAAAAGTCTTTGCACTAAATAGCACAGCCTTAAAATCCCTTAGTATTGATAATACTGAAAGGAAGAAAAATCAAATCCAATGTCATGGTGCAAAACTTTGATATATGACCTAATGAAAATCAATGCTACAATCTACTTTCCTTAAAATTTCATTTTCCTTACAGAAGAGTAAACTTCCAGTGTGTATCCATGCCATATTTTCCCTATCCCTTTGTTGATGAATGTCTAGGGACTCCACTTCCTTGTTATTGCGAACAATACAGCAACAAGAAACATTCAGGAAAATGAATGGATCTGGAAAATATCAAATGAGATTACCCAGGCTCAGAAAAATAAAAACCTCAGATTCAGTACTTACCCAGACTCTAGCTTTTGTTTTTTGTTTTTTGTTTTTTGTTTTTTGTTTTGGTTTTTCGAGACAGGATTGCTCTGTGACTTTGGAGGCTGTCCTGGAACTCACTTTGTAGACCAGGCTGGCCTCCAACTCACAGAGATCTGCTTGCCTTTGCCTCCTGTGTGCTGGGATTAAAGGAGTGTGCCACCACGGCCCAGCCAGATCCTAACTTTTAATGTCTGCATGTATGCAAATAAGAGGGTATGAGAGTGGGTGTAGGCTATGAAACTAGATAGGGACCATGGGACGGTGTTGAGGAAGAGCCGGGCAAAAGGCTGCATGTGACTTGAAAGTGGAAAGGATGGTACAGGGTGGGAGGAAAGGGAAAAACACACACATTTTGATTTAAAAACTGCAGTGGCTTCCAGTTTAGTTTTTAAAATGGGTTTTCTGAGTGTGCAACCAAGAGGGTTTCTACATCTATATCTTTGTGTGTGTGTGTGTGACTTTTCTTGGACTCTTTCACTCTGTTTGTTTTGTCCTATTATGATGTGTTATTTTTTGTTTTACTTATTTCATTTTATTATTATCCCTTAGAAGCCTGTTTGCCTTCTAAGGAGAGACAGAAAGGGGGGGGGGTGGATCTGGACTGGAGGGGGTGTGGGCAGGAACTGAGAGGAGTAGAGGGAGAGGAAATTATAATCAGGATATATTATGTAAGAAAAAACTATTTCCAATAAAAGGAAAAAATAAATGAGAAAAATGCTATAATGAAATCTAGTACTTTGTATGCTATTAAAATAAATAAACAGTATACAACTCAAAACTTGAAAACAAAAAGAAAATAAAGGATATGGCCTACATGTTCATCAACAGAAAATGAAAATGTGGTGGGGTATATACAATGGAATATTCCTCACTTGTAAAGAAAAATGAAATTTGAAGGAAAACGAATATATATCTCATTTCCTTTACAGAGTCTTTGACTATTCTTTTGTAGGAGATAGCTATTAACACCCTTGGAGGCCATTAATGATGGACCTCCTTCACAATCCACTCCGGCTCCCATTTCTGTGGGGGTGCTAAAAAGAAAAGCATTGTAATTGCCCTTCCTTACGATTTTAGAATGCTCCATGAAAAGGTGGAGGTTTCAGGGCTTTGCTGAGGAATATTACTTCCTCCTGCTCAAAGGAGTTTCCCTCTGGGATCTACTCCTGACCCTGGGTAGAGGTATGACCTGATATTCTCCAAAGACTAGAACATCACATACCATTGTCTCCTCCCTCAAGGATCAATCTGACTGGGCCTGTCAATCACTCCTCAGAAAGACTGATTCATCTAAAGACCTGCTAAAGAGAAGGGCAGAATCTTTACATCTTTAATGAGATAACATGCTTATTCTTCCCAGAAGCCTCTGCCTCGACTCAGTCTTGACTTGCTTGCGTTTCTCCACTTCCTGCCTGATTTTTGAGTTCTAACTCAGAAAGATGAACTTTTTTCCTTTTCTTCCCCTTTTTTGGGATACTGGTGGACCATCTCCTTGTTTCTTTGAAGTCCCCCACCTGTCACACAGCTGCCATGAATCTGCTTGTTGAGCTACACTGCTGAACCCGCCTGGTTTCTTGAACCCTGGCACAAAGGACAAAGGTTATCTTTCTTCTCACCTATCTCCCTCCTCCCAGAAGCTGCTAAGCTCATAGCTTGCCAAGCTTCTTTTTTTTTTTTTTTTTTTTTTTTGGTTTTTACGAGATAGGGTTTCTCTGTATTGTTTTGGAGGCTATCGGTCCAGCCTGGCCTCGAACTCACAGAGATCCGCCTGCCTCTGCCTCCCGAGTACTGGGATTAAAGGCGTGTGCCACCACCGCCCGGCAGCTTGCCAAGCTTCTTGATTTACTCCTCATCCGCTCCCAGCCTTCTTTTGGAGTTCATTTAAAAAGTCTTTGGAGCCGGGTGTTGGTGGCTCACGCTTTTAATTCCAGCATTGGGGAGGCAGAGGCAGGCGGATCTCTGTGAGTTCGAGGCCAGCCTGGTCTACAATAGCTAGTTCCAGGACAGCCTCCAAAGCCATAGAGAAACCCTGCCTCGAAAAACCAAAAAAAAAGTCTTTGGAGACATCAGTTGAAATGTTTGTTTGTTAGAAAGAACACACATCTACCTCTTCTCCAGAGATGAAGGAGAAGGTGGTGGTGTGGGCAGGTTTAAAGCACTGTAATAATAAGACTCTGTATATAGCTCTAAATTTGATCTCCCTGGTGTGGAAGCTTCCCTTGGGGTCTTCAGGCAAATGCACACAAAACCTCTGCTCCCTCTAACATTGAGCCTTAAGTGAATATAGATCATTTTGCACTATAAGAATTGCAGTGGAGGCAGGTGAGTTCCTTACTGGTGTGGAGTGAGTTTCTTGGTGAAACAGGCATGAGGGTGTTTGTCTGGAGTTCAACACGCAGAGACAAGTGTAGAACCGTAACTGTAAGTGACTCTAGCATAGGGGCAGAGTGGTGCCTGGGAGAGGAGAAGGACGGGCTGATGAAGTATATCGGGATCTTATGTGTCCAGGATCATTGAGTCCTTCCTAAGCTCTGCTTAGGGTCTAGGTCCCAGTGACTGTAAACATCCTGCCCCTTGTTTTCTTTCATTCAGTACTTTTACATGCTACACGCTGAAAGTGCACAATGAAAAACAAAATTCACAAATCAGTCAAGACCAAGCTAAGTGAAAAGCAATTAAAAATAAGACTTTGCTGTTTTGTTATCTAAAAGCACTGGGCACTCCTTGACTCCTGGAAGCCTGCCTAGCACCTCTTCCTATATACATACAATTATTGGCTTTATCTGACACTCCCCCTCCGGCTGCTGTTTCTGTTAGGGAGGGAGGCGCACAGAGCTGGATTCAGCCCCCTCTAGCATTTGTATACCTCATTGACTTCCCTCAGGGTGCATACATTATTACTCTTGGTATGCTGTTGATTGACTTTGTGGTAGCTGATGTCTGTCCACAATAAGACTTGGGCCAAATCAGATTATTCAGTTTAGCAGACCAAATTACTTTCCTCCTTGTGGTCCCAATAAGACTTCTTATTGTAATTAATATGCTAAGTTAATTTATTATTCTAATTAGCTATAAAAAAACTCTACTTGACAGTCTCTGTAAAGATGCAGATCACACCTTATTCAACTATTCATCCAATGTAGTTCCAGGCATACCAGCCGTGAAAAACAATGAGGAAGTACTATAAGACTCTGGTATAAAAAATACCTTTGACACACTATGAGATTTCAGTCATCTGCATCAATATGGATACTGTAAACCACACTGGTCTTAGTTACACATTCTTTCATTTGCTGGGCATCCCTGGCCTAGAGGACCAGCACATGTGGATTTCCATCCCCTTCTTCCTTTCCTATGTCACTGCCATGCTTGGGAACAGCCTGCTCATCTTCATTATCCTCACAAGGCCTAGTCTCCATGGACCCATGTACCTCTTCCTCTGCATGCTGGCAGGAGCAGACATCGTCCTGTCCACCTCCACAGTTCCCCAGGCCTTGGCCATCTTCTGGTTCCACGCTGGGGAGATCTCCCTGGATCGCTGCATCACTCAGCTTTTCTTCATCCATTCCACCTTCATCTCTGAGTCAGGGATCTTGCTGGTGATGGCGTTTGACCGTTACATTGCCATTTGCTACCCCCTGAGGTACACCACTATTCTCACAAACTCCCTGATTGGGAAAATTGGAGCGATCATCTTTCTGAGGAGCTACGGTACAATTCTCCCCATAATATTTCTTTTGAAAAGACTGACATTTTGCAGAACCAACATTCTTCCACATACAGCTTGTGAGCACACTGGCTTGTCTAAGTATGCTTGTAATGACCTTCATGTAGATATCTGGTATGGACTTTTTGTTTTAATGTCAACAGTTGTTTTAGATGTTGTGCTAATATTTGTTTCTTATATGCTAATTATCCATGCTGTCTTCCGCATGCCTTCCCAGGATGCTCGCCACAAAGCTCTCAATACTTGTGGGTCCCACGTCTGTGTCATCATACTCTTTTATGGACCTGGGATCTTCTCAACCCTCACCCATCAGTTTGGACACCAGATTTCAAGTGATATCCACGTCCTGCTTGCCAATGTTTGCATCCTGGCTCCACCAATGTTGAATCCCATCATCTATGGGGTCAAGACCAAACGAATCCGAGACCAAGTGACTCATGTCTTGTTTCTGAAAGTAATATGATTTTCAGAGCAGAAACCAAACTGTTGTATTCCCAACATTCTAGTCACATATGAGGTGAACTCTAGCAGTCCTGGTAGTTAAGGGACGTTGAGCCAAACTATTTATCTCACTGATACTCTTTGTGGAGTTTTGATGTGCTGTTCAAGGTCTCAGATGAGTAATGAGATTGGGAAACTTGGAGTTTAATCTATATGGACTTGTTATTATATATGCACTGCACGTAGTGGTGGGCTCCACAGCACTTTCATCCAGGTATTCATGCGCTTTCACTGTCCTCCCCTAGTCCCTCACATTCCCTTTTGTTGCCCTTCCTCCTAGCCCCACACTCATCTAACCTTATTCTCCTTTCACATCATATACATATGTAGTTACATATGTCACATGCATGTGATTTCATGCATCTCAAATGAGAAAAGGAGATGTCTTTTTGAATCTGACTTATTTCGCCCAATATGATGATTGATGGTTGTATCCAATTCTCTGCAGAATATGTGGTTTCATCCTTTTTATGGCTGAATGAAATAATGTGTGTGCATATACATTGGATCTTTTAAATTATTTTTTAATTATTTGTGAATTTCACATCTTGTATCCTATTACTATTCACCTCCCAGTCTTCCCATGTCTTCTCTACTCCCCCCCCGCTCCAGTGACCTCCCCACCACAAGGGGTAAAAAAGTTCATTTTTCATTTTGTGTTGTTCATATATTCTCTGGAGCATGGCCAGATTCCTAGTGGCTAGCTCCTAAGTAAGGAAAGACGAGTCTTTCTCTGACTGCATCCACGCCAGAAGTGGTCAACTGAGGAAGAGATGTGTGGTAGCCAGAGCCAGCTCTCCTGTGTCCATGACAATGCCTGCGACTGTCACCGCTTTTTTGTAGGCTAGTGAGGTGAGGGATTGGCTTTCCTGTGTACATGGCTTCAGGCAGCAGCTCAGACCACTAACTTCTGCATGGGCTTCCATGGTAATATGGGCAGTAGACATCATCATCATGGCCCTTGGCTGTATCAGGACCACTGACCCACACTTGGCTTTCATCAGCTATAAGAGCTGTGGGCCTCCATGACATGGCCTCAGTCACATCATGATGGCATCCAGAGGCAGTAAAACCCGTATGGACTGCTTATGTCTACATGAATCTCAGGTTTCTTTGAGGCCTGGTACAGTAGCATGGGTTGCCAATACTATCTTGGACTCTGTGGCATCTAGGGCCACTGTGGTCCTTCTAGAAGGTCCGGTCCAGAAAGAGACCCTCATCTCAGGTCCCTGTGGTTTCCTAGAGCCAGGGGGGTCCTGTGGCCAGGTGGCAGGTTTAGGGGATGAGTCTCAGTCTGCTTAAGCTCCAAGCTGTTGTACACCGTCCTGCTGACCCACTGGGTAAAGACAGCAAGAAGATTTCAGCACTCTCTTTCACCAGTCACTTCTGTTGTGTCTCCAGTTCTGCCTTCTCTCCATAGCAATGCCGCTCCATTTTTCTATCTTTCTTACCTCCGTTACATATTTCTTCTTTGTAGTGGTGCCCACCACCCCTGTCGGTGGGGAGGGGTGCAGGAGGTCAGGGTGGCCACACCATATTTTCTTTATCCATTATCTGTGGATGGGCAGCTGGGTGGATTCTGTTAACTTGGCTGTTTCTTAGAGCTCTGTCTTCTGTCCCTGACTTCCAATATTCTTAGCATCTCTTCATTATTTTTGTGTTACTTTGAGTCATATTTGGGTTACATTTTCCTAACCAGTGTTTGCTTTTTGCTAATGATCTTTACATTTGTCTAATACATTTGTCAACCAAAACCAGTGAGTCTTATTTTTATTCAATGATTAAATTTAAAAATTGATAAACTTTAATTTATCCTTGCAGAAAAAAATGTGCAGAAAGTAGGAAATTTGCATGTACTTCTCTTCTCCCCTTCTCCAACTTTTCCTATTACTAACATCAGGGAATTGATGTGATACATTTATTTTGATTAATAATGAATACTGTATATTATTACTAATAAAATTCATGGTTTCCATCATTAGGCTTTGTTGATAGCCTAGGTTGACAGTAATTTTATTTATAAATTTGGTGCTTAACTGGGTTCATATTAGTGTGAGATTGACTAGATAATGGAAGAGAAGACTTAGTGGATTTGATCGTGGTAAAAAAATTATAACAATGGCTGTTTTCTGAGTCAAAATTGAAGAATATTAATGACAACATACTGGTGAACTCACAGTAGCTATGGTTACCTACATGAGTTCTGTACAAGATCAAGCCAGTCAACAGTCCAGCATGGGCGGAGAAGATCCCTTGAGCCTCCTCCTCCTCTAGCTGAGGACCTGGTAACAATTAATGCCTGCTGAAGGAGGGGGAGTCATTTTTCTTTTGGAGTGTGGAAATTGGTATGTTGTCCATGGTCCTTGGCATGAGGTGGTTAATGGATTAGAAGGTTATGTATAAAAAAAATGAAGACACGTTTGGGCTGGTCTAGGGGTGGCTGGGAGGAGACAATTGATGTGGATATGATAAAGATACATTACATACATATATGCAAATGTCAAAGGATAAATAGAAATATTCATACAGAAACAGAAACAGACGAGCAGTGGATGGGGGGCAATGGGAGGTGGGGGAAGGGAATGGGAGGAGAGGAGGGAGGAGGAACTCTGGTCAGGATGTAAAATAAATGAATAAGTTTAATTAATAAAAATTACTAAACAGAATATATATCACACAGAGTGGGCTTGTAGTTTAGGAAGAAAATAGTGATGGACCTTGTTGTCGCCATGCCCGCGGACATCAGCCAGTGGTCCGGGCCCCTGAGCCTGCAGGAGGTAGACGAGCTTCCCCAGCATGCGCTGTGGGTCGCCTACGCCGGACGGGGTGGAAGAGGACGAGTTGGGCAAAGTGCTGACGCCCACCCAGGTTAAGAATAGGCCCAGCAGCATTTCACGGGATGGTCTTGACCCAGGAAAACTCTACACCCTGGTCCTCACAGACCCCAATGCTCCCAGCAGGAAGGACCCCAAATTCAGGGAGTGGCACCATTTTCTGGTGGTCAACATGAAGGGCAATGACATCGGCAGTGGCAAAGTTCTCTCAGATTACGTGGGCTCTGGGCCTCCCAGTGGCACAGGCCTCCACCGCTACGTCTGGCTGGTGTATGAGCAGGACAAGCCACTGAACTGTGACGAACCCATCCTCAGCAACAGGTCAGGAGATCACCCTGGCAAGTTCAAGGTGGCGGCCTTCCGCAAGAAGTATCACCTGGGAGCCCCCGTGGCGGGCACCTGTTACCAAGCAGAGTGGGACGACTACGTGCCCAAGCTGTAGGGAAGTAGGGGAGCCGTGGAGCCTGGTGGTCCTGGGGACTCACCACAGTATTGTCAAGTTGTGCAAAGCATGCTGTTTCTTCTCCTTTCCTTCCTACCCCCCCGCAGGGAGTTCTGAGCTAGGGTAGAGGTTAGGGTGATTTCCCGCTGCCCATTCTTATGATTCTAATAGTTGTATCCCAGTTTATGTTTGCTCAAATTTAGGCTCAGCTGGGGGTGTTTGGTGTTTTGATAGAATCCCCGTATTGTTAATTTAAGAAGCGCAGCTCTGAAAAGCAAGGTACCCTGCCAAAAGCAGGTCCACTGGGGAGAGGGCTAGTGTTGTCTGTGAGTGGTTTGACAAAGACTGTGTCCAGAACCAGGCATGGTTGTTTTAAGAGTCCCCCCCCCACACTGAGACAACCCAAGGCTTCCACTTCAGTCAAGTGCTGACAGTCCAGCGTGGTCAGGCGGCTGCATGGGTGTCGATGTCCTGTAACCCCAAAGAACAGGGCTTCTGTGCTGAGGCGTGGCCATGGAGAGAGGGGCTAAGTCTTGCTTCTCAGTAGCATGAGCAAAAGTCACTGGAGTTGCTGGGTGTGCTAATCTTGTCTGTTTATCGTCAAATAAAACTAAAAGGCATTGAAAAAAAAGAAAATAGTGATGGAATATGATCTTAGTGAGGTTAGTGTAATATATGTAGATGGCATATATGTGGGCAACTAATTGTAATTATACAGTAGGATGTCTGGAAATAGTGAATCTGGAAGTACAAGAGTGGAAGACTACAGAAATGAATACCTAGAATAGAGTGGAAAGAAACACAGAGCTGAGGAGGAAACAAAATTGAGAGTATGAGCAGCAAGAATAAATAAAAGAAATGTGCTATACACACTTATTCAGCCCTAAAAACAAGGCCATCCTGTTCTATGCTACAACATACTTGAACCTGAAGGCATTGTGGTAGGTGAAATAAGTCAGATACAGAAAGAAAACATAATGAATGACAAGCACGCATGGAATCTATAGCAGCCAGCCTCACGGAAGCAGGGGTAGAGTAGTGGTTGTCCAGTAGAAGGAGGGGAAGCTGGGGAGGCATTCAAAGGCTCAACACTTTAGTTATGGGAGATGGATATGCCTTGGAAATTTGCTAAGATCGTAGACTTCACCACAAAACCAAACCCAAAGAAAGTATGTGAGGTAATGAGTATTTTGATTAGCTTTATTATGGTGGTGAGTTCAGTGTACATACATATCAAAACACCCTTTGTGTACCTCAAATACATACATGTTTTTAATTTGTCAATTACATGTCCGTAAGTTTTGGGCAAAACGAAGAGTGAGAAGAATTTGTTGTTCACTTGGACAATAAGCTGTTTGCTCAAGGGTGATGACATCTTACATGTGTTTGTGAAGGAAACTAGCAAGTTTACCAACCAGCACTGAGGAGGAAAAAGACAATGCCAGTCCCATATGAGAAGCAGTTTTTACAAGGAAGTCAGTAAGTACTGGTCTGGATATAAACTCAGGAAGTATTTTGCAATAAAAATCACCTTAAGTGATTTCATATCTTAAAAAGCATCAGTACGTCTTACTAGCTTAAATAAAATACTTCAAAATATCCACAGATGAAAGACTTCACTAGATGATTTTCTTTATTGACTTCATTTCTCCGTGACATAAATTTTGTGAAAGTATTTGTCTTATC